GGGGGCGGGGGGGGGGAGATTTTTTGAATATTCCCCCAAGGGTTGAGATCCCCCTATCTCATCCCCGAGGGGGTGAATGATTATTTTTCTCTTACCCTGTTGTTCCTGTCCAAGTGTAAGACGAAGCATATTGTTTGTAAACAGGAACACGTGGGTAGCCTATTAATATTATATGTATGCGTCGGACGGTTCACGCATCATATTTTAAACATTTTAAAATCAATCCCATCAATGTCAAATGTAAACACGACAAGATTAGCAGACGAACTTTCTATGTCCTGTTTGATTTTATACGACAAGGAATCTCCCTTGTATATAATGGCTCTCTGTATGCATCAATAGTAATTTTTAGACCGAACAAAGTTAAACTTAATACTCAAACAATGCACGTATTAAACGTGTCCCAACGTTTCAAGCCTAACTGGTCCCTTTGTCAAGCTATGACTGAGTGAGCGGTTTGTATTGTTTACCTGTACAGCTATGTGACGAGGTTGTGAATTCCATAGGACACTTTATAAACACTGTATAGAATAGGTTACTCGTTTGTGTATAAAGTAACACTTTGATATTTCATTTTTCCGAACTGCTCAATCTTAAAGTAACATATGTATTATAAAAAGGCATTGATCATAAAATAACTTTGCAAATTACTGTAGTATATAGCAGTCTAATTGTTAATAATAATTTTGTATGTCACCACCCGAAGATACATGTAGCATAGGTCGTTTATCTAATTTTCAATAAAACATATTCATGAAGTCGGATTGCGGAAAATAAACACTCTTAAGTTAAATTCTGTACATTTGCAACAATTAAAGTACAATTAAACGTTTATTAATGCTTTAGTAATCTCACAGAATTTATGCGACCACATTTTGCAGATAACATAGAACAAAAAGTGATAACGCCTTCAGTTAACATTGAAATAATGGTTAGTACAATATGTAAATGTATTTGGAATGTTGATACAATGTATTTACACAATATTATACATTTCTACTATCTAAAATACGAACATCAAAGAGATATTTAACAAAACAAAGTCATAAGTCCTATTTCTTGTAAATTAAACAACCACAATAAGGGAGACAACTCTTCCAAACTATTTCTGTATCAACTAGAGACTTTTATTGTACATACCAGTAACGTATGTAACATGGTACCAGTACCTTCTGAATTCGTCACAACTCTTCATCTCATTTTATTACACATACTGTTGAACGATTATTTACACTGATCTAGTATAAAAAGCTAATTTTCAGTTCAAAGTTACACTAATCGAACTAGGAAATATGTATAAATACTGGATGTCCAGCATACATCGACACTAAATCATTAAAAATATATGTAAATTATTGTTGTTTAGGACAAATTTGCACTCAGACTGTCCTCTGTTATATGACTATTCCACTAAAATATTTCACAATCAGGCGGTCATCAGGACTTTTTCTGTACGAGGAGGCTGTCCAACTTCACCCCTCCCTTGGTTGGTTTGCGAGCGGGGGTGTGGTTCTCCTCGTCATCACTATCGACAGACACTTTGGAAGCGGTTCTGTACGTCTTTCCAGCCTTGTACTTCTTAATTCCTTTGTAAACGGCAAATCCAATAGCGACTAAAATTATCGCCCCCAACACGCCACCTACAATGGCGCCAATTATCAGGTAAGTGCTGGTTGAAGATGGTACCTCTGTAAGAGAATAAAATACATACATATTAGTTATAACAAATTACTTATATTGATATCATTATGCATAGGGTATGGCTTAGCTACCAGAAATACCCTGTGTGCCCAAAGCCAATAGCTATATGTATCGAAATCCTTCTGCATGATAAAGTATGCCATTTGGGTACCCTGCAGACTCATAGTTTTGTCTGTATTCTCTGCACAGGAGACATTAAAATCGCCACTCATAGAGTTATATCCGTTCTTTTCTATCACCTTTTTTTCCTTCGTCGTTTTCTCCTCGGGCACAAGTCTTATGAATTTAGCTTTTGCGAGGATAATAAACGGCGAACAAACGGAACACGCTTTCCCAGTGTTGCTTAACGAATAGGACATACCCGTAATGGAAAATCAATGTCGCAGAAAAGGGACAAAAGATGACAAGCATCGGCTATTGGCCATCAAATAGTTATGACAACATATGTTGTTTGTAGCAGCCATTAATACAATAATATGTGTGGGTAGATTAGCCGACAGGACAGATTGAGATAACATTCATTGAAGCTGTCGACACAATCCAATCTCAGATTCATTTTTATACAAGCAAAACATCAAAATCACATTGATCTTATGGAATTTCGGAATCTTTGAAATTTGGAAAACGCTTGTTTGATAAAAATTATATTAAAGCTACATGTTTTTAAATATCTTACCATCGACGAGAACGTAGGAGACTCGGAACCCTTTGTAGTTGGAGTCGGTGTCCGAAACAAACCTCGCGTATACGTAACTTCCGGTGTCTTGGTAGTACACCGGCTTTTCTTCTCCACAGAATGTCCCTAGGACAGGGTAAGACTCACAGGGACCTGTTATAGATGAACGAATAGCTATTATAAACTGTGCAGGAACTGACAACAGTTTGAAACATGCTTTTTGCTAAAGAACGTCACGATATTTGAAGCATTATGTTCTTATCCTGATCTACAGCTGACGTTGATACTGATATTTTGTAAGCAAAGTACCATCTTTAAGCCAGTCGATTTGGTATCGTGAACATAATAAACCCACCTGTTCTGGACAACAAAAATAGCAATACAATTCCATATATAATACTAGTATCCAAATCTAAAATTTGATTGCAAATTGTTATGAATCTAAAAGCAATTCAGCATGCCAAGGTAATAAAGAGTAAAAGCAAAGACGTTCCGGCTTTGTAGCGTAGGTGAATTTACTATATTCAAATATATTTATTTAAAACTATTAATTGCGTTTATCGTTCAATACTCCAATTACGTGTTACATACCTTTGTACAGGGTGACTTTGTCGTAAGAACATGGATAACTGGCCTCTATTCGGGAGTCCTCCACCGCTACCTTGATCACACCAACACCAGAAGGGTTGTAGATCAGCCAGTGAGAGTCTTCATTGCTAATGGAATACACAACAATCATTACTGTGATCATGTAAAACTATTTTTACCGAAATGCATACATAACTTTGTATCAACGAATGCAGTTGTTGTCTAGGCACACTGTTTACACACTGATATAGCATTTGATTACGATATATTTGTAAATACCACAGACACAACGAAGGCTATTTTCGTGTTCAGTAGGTACATGTACAATATACAATGTATATGTAACATTGATGAACATCAAAAGTCCAGTATTCAAGGATCTAATTGAAGAATTACAAAGGCTCGAGATAAACTATATTAATAAGATATTTAAATAAAAACTAGTGCGAATATTGTCTAATGTCTAATTGTCTAACATTTGTTTGAAGCCCAACTAAATTGCATCACTGCATGAATGCGATAAAAGCAAATTTCAACAATTAAATACCTGTAATGAATGTAGTATCAGCCTTACCTTGTGTAGTCATTCGGGTAGTTATCGGAGGTGAAGTATTGAACAGTGGTTGTGGCGTTCAGGTTGGTAATATTTCTTCCGCTGTCTACGCATGTCGGGGTTTCTGAAATTATGATTGAAACATGAAATATGCACATTTTGACCAAAGAAAAAGATCAAATTAAATCTGTTTCAAATGCTAAAATAAATAATGGAAATAAATCAAAATGTGAGGAGAAAACGGACAGCAGATGAACTTAAGGCAAAGTTATTCTCATTGCTTCAGACTTCGGCATCATTTACATCAGTGCTACAATTAGGTATATTTAAAGACGCACGCGTTAGATGGAATTTCGCAATGCATTAAAGACTGTTAAACGTTTTGGTCTGCGCACAAATATTGTCGAAAATGTTATGAGATGAATAGTCATAATGAGAGTTTCGGATACGTTGACGTTGAACCCTATAACACTAAGCAGGTAGCTATATATATTCTGATTTTAAAAGTTTATTAGACTAGCATAATTATTTTTAGAGTTAAATAGACCATTACATTCATTCCATAAAACCTACCTTGAGCAGTGACTGTGTACTGGAACTTGAAGCCTCTATCTGATGAAGATCCGTCAGACGTGAAGACTACGAGAATACTAGTTCCGGTTCCGTTAACGCTCTGGTATGTAGTTCCGCAGAAACTAGCCAGGAGAGGATAACTTGTAGTGGAGCCTTTAAAAGAATACCAAAATATAAGTTTAGATCAAGTGCCATCCATGTATATATGAAAATAAAATCAACTGAAAGACCAACTCTAAAAATGTTTTAGTACAAACTAGTTTATATCTCCAGGAGTAAATGTAGGTAGGCTGAATAAATACATTCTACAACTAATACAATAGTTTTTTTCAGTGATACTGTAAGAAGGGGGAGACGACTTCGGCTAATCATTATTAGTAACTGCAGGGTGTGTTACAAGACGTAACCAATAGAAATCTGAAATGTTTCGGAACACCAGTTCAATAAAACGACCTATGTTATCTGTGTTGTTGTCGTACCGTCGTAGATGGAGACCACGTCGCCACTACAGCCGTCACTGTCCTCCAGCGACGAGTCGACTGCAGTCAGTGATATTTGTTCTCCTGCAGACGCCTGTACCACCCAGCTACAGGCCAGGTTACTATGGAAGTGGACAACATCAACATCGTCAGCATCGGTAACAGTAAATAATATAACATTTTGGGATAACAGAACATGCACTTTTGGGAAAACCGGAAGAGAAATAAGAGCATGATCAGTTCCGGAGCACAACAAGAGANCCCCCCCCCCCCCCCCCCCCAAATTTGACACTACAAAACGATGTTACGGAATGGCTTATATTTGTGTTATAGTAGTACCATCAGAAACCTGCAATAAATCTACATAGAAAACTATTATGTAAGTTCACGTAGTGTTTCAATAGGTACCATTGACTAAATGTCATAAACATAATGAGAAACAAAACCTTGGCCATTCCTTTTATTTTAGACCAAAAGGCAGACACAGTTTTCATCCCAAATGTAAATTGCTATTTATATGATTTTATCTAAAAGCATTTGTACAAATTCGTTGGCAACATTTTGTTTCAGTATTTGCAAAATCATGTGAACCAAAGGTGCCCCTTCCCTGGCTGACTTCTTGTTCTTCTCTTTTATGCGTCATTTTCAGACATATTTACATATGATCAAACCAATTAGATTTGAGTAATAGCTTACTGTCCGTAGAACTCCGGGTAGTCGGGTGTGGTGATGTATCCTGATGACCCGGACGTTGCGGTGATGGTGATGGTTCCGGAGTCACACGCTGAAGGGGCCGTGTAGGTTGTAGTGGCTACGACTGGAGCGGCAGACGTGGTGGCAACTAGATAGAAAATGAGATAATGCATATACTGTAGTATGCCCTTGAGTGTATAGGTATTCCTTAAAGAGAAAGAAATATTAGTTTAAAAGTATGATCCGTAAAGAATTATTGAATGAGATCGACTAAGTATTAGAAGGGTTTGATGAGTCAATTCTCGATGCAATATTTGTTTATTTTTTTATTATTTTAAAGAAAATCCTCATCCGGATCATTTCATTCCTCACTGATATTCACACAAGACGCTACTAAACGATTTATTTGTCCATGCATGTGAACGTGCTCGTTGTCAAACCGGCTTGATATCCACAATAACCTAGGTCGTCTAACTCGTGGTTTAATAAGATTGTATTAATTAAACGGCTACTCTAGAAAAGCTATAGCAGTTGTTACCCCTGTCTCAAAATGTTGACTATTGTTGCCCGGGACATCGACTGATCATATACTCGTCGTCATTCCAAAGTTCCACTGATGCCTTACCTGTTGTCATCGCGGACGTCAACCGTTTAATAACCTGATATCACTGCGGGCGTCGATTGTTAACTAACCTGTTGTCGCCGTGGACGTAGATTAATAACTAACATGTTGTCGCCGTGGAAGTTGTTTGTTTATTTACTTGTTGTCGCTATTGTTGCTACAGACAGACGTAGATTGATTACTAACCTGATGTCACCGCGGACGTAGATTGATTACTAACCTGTTGTCAGCGCGGTCGCGAATGTGTACTAACCTGTTGTAGCTGTTGAGATCGTTTGATAAATAACATGTTGTTGCCGTAGACGTTGATTGTTAACTAACCTGTTGTCAGCGTGGACGTCGATTGATTACTTACCTGATGTCAGCGTGGACGTCGATTGATTACTAACCTGATGTCACCGCGGACGTAGATTGATTACTTACCTGTTGTCAGCGTGGACGTCGATTGATTACTTACCTGTTGTCAGCGTCGACGTCGATGGATTACTTACCTGTTGTCGGCGTGGACATAGATTGATTACTTACCTGTTGTCAGCGTAGACGTCGATTGATTACTTACCTGTTGTCAGCGTCGACGTCGATTGATTACTTACCTGTTGTCGGCATGGACATAGATTGATAACTTACCTGTTGTCAGCGTGGACGTCGATTGATTACTTACCTGTTGTCAGCGCGGACGCCGTTGTCGTCGCAGTGGAGCTCGACTCGTTGTAAGACACGATGAACCCTAACCGGACGGAATCCATGACAGCGGTGCTAAACTGTATGTAGGCCTTGTCACCAGTGGTGGTCACTGTTGACCCGTCCGTGAAGGTTGTCCTATCATTGCTGAGGCTGACCAGCTGGGTCGCAGTATTGTCCGAACCTTGACAGTTAATGACATATACATATACAAAAATTTAAGAGACGCAAACAGATAAACCACAGTTTCTTATTATTGCGCTTTGGCATCTATGATGACGACACAATATCGGTCGCAGTCAGATTTCTTCTGTGCTTTTTTGTATTACCATGTTTCAAAAGGGTTCCGAATGCGCCCGGTATTGAACTCAAATATACATATTGTACAAAATTATTAATTTCATCAATTTCAACAAAATCGGTCTCATAGACGCATTATATGCAGAATGCGAATATATGTGGACATAATAAATTGTGAAAAACACCAAATTATAAAATTTCCAGATTGACACAAGAGTACATGTAGAACGATTCACCATGAAATAGGCACTTTTCATAAACAAGTTATTATATATCATGTGTTTCGTATGGTTGAATTTGGGTCGAATTTTGATTCTACTAAGTTGAATAGAAGAATGCGAATATGTAACTAGTTCTGAATTTTTGGAAAATTTTGACAGGTTTCTTCAAGGGAAACACATTTTTATGGAAAGTATTTGACTTCGGAATGTTACCTTACAACAAATAGACGGCGTAATTACGCCCTACTTTAAAAAAAAATCTTATATTGGTTGATCCATATAATGTAGGCATTCCTGTTGTCCCTTACCATCGTATATAGAAAGCATCTCCTCTCCATCGATGTCCAGGAACACAACATTGACGGTCAGAGTACTGGAGCCACTACTCGCGCTTATCAGCCAGGTACAGGTGTCAAATCTGATGAAATTTGACCAACCAATTAGATCAAATACTTTTTAATTCGATATTCATCTTTTAAACTTAAGGAGCCTAAAGGAAATTTACAAATGTGTCATAGTCCCGATGAATTACACATTAGAGATAGTCGTGGATTTCGGGAATAGTATAAAGTAACAAGTGATATTAGCAATGTATAAAAAACAGTTATATAAAACACAACTATCAGTTAACATTACCCGTTAAAAAAATACATTTGTCTGAGAAAGTACGTAAAATACGTACGCGTTCTGCTGGCTAGGAAAGTCTGGTGACGTCAGATATTGCAGCGTGGTGCTGGCCGTCAGTGACACGGTGCTTGTACACGCTGTAGACGGGGCTGTCAACAGAAATATTAAACTTCAAAGGTACCTATCACAATCAATTATGTCTATGATGATATGATGTATGATAATCAACACATTCCCTACCTTCTAGATCCGTGACAATGATATCATTTTGTAATTACAATGTAGGATTGAATTAAATATCTACATATTGTTTTGAATTGTACTGATGTTCAGAAGGCACTTACACAAATAGATGTAAAACAAGCTTGTGGCTACGACAACATATCTGGCGTAGTTTTTAAAGAGTGTGCTGATGAGTTATATGTACACTGTGTAACATTTTCAACCGTTCATTGAAAGATGGTACATTGTATCTTTTCAAATATTTTAAAAAGGGCTAATGTTATTCCCATTTTTAAATCTGGTAAACATAATGAAGTCTCTAATTACAGACCAGTTTCTTTGCTACCAATTATATCTTAAGTTTTCGAAAAACTGGTTGACGTACATTTTTCAAATTTTATAAATCCGCTTATCTGCGATGAGCAACATGGTTGTATGCCAAAAAGGTCTACTGTTTCAAACCTTGCATGTTTGATAAAAAAAGTAGAATTACATGCTGTATATACTGATTTTTCAAAGGCATTTGACAAAATAAACCACAGATTATTATTGCATAAGTTAAAATTGTATGGTGTAGAAGGTAGCATTTTAGATTGGTTAACTACTAAATTGGAAGACAGATTCCAGCGTGTTACTGTCAATGGGGCAACATCCGGTTGGTGTGATGTAACTTCCGGTGTGCCTCAAGGTTCGATACTTGGACCTAAACTTTTCCTTGTTTTTAGCAATGAACTGCCATCTATTGTGAAATTTTCTAAAACTCTTATGTTTGCCGACGACAGCAAATATTTTAAGTCTGTAAGAACGTTGTCTGGGTATGAGCAACTACAGAGCGATATAGATAGAGTGTATGATTGGTGCAATGTTTGGAAAATGAAAGTGAATGTGAAGAAGTGCTGCCAGGTCATTTTTACAAACAAGAAGAAATGTATGAATTTTAATTACACTATGAACGGTTAGAACCTGAAGAATGAAATGTGTGTGAAAGATCTTGGTGTTTGGCTGACATCTTCGATGAGTTTTAGTACCCACATTAGACGTACTGTTTCCAAATCAATGCGAATGCTCGGTTTTATAAAACGTACATGTAAAAGTTTTACACAAATACCTGTTTTAAGGTCTTTATATATAAGTCTTGTCAGGGGTCAGTTAGAATACTGTTGTCAGATCCGGTCTCCTTACCAAACATATTTAATTCACCAGGTCGAAGTTGTCCAGCGTAAATTTTTGAAATGTTTATGTTTTAAGGCACACGTCGACTACAATTCCATGCTTTACGCTGACACTTGTAGGCATTTTAATCTTCCTAGCCTCGAACATAGGCGGGCACTTTTAGATTGTGTGTTTTTTAGTCCCACGTCGTAATCTACGATCAATTCGTTTTACTGCCAGAGAAGTAGAATAAATGTTAGAAAGTATAGTATTTTAAACAGGATTCAATGCAGTTTTAACTATCTTGATTTTGCACAAGATGTTATATGTTTCGTTCCTCTCTCGCCGAGTTCAAAGTACGGTTAAAGAATATTTGCTATCACTAATTCCTTTTGTTTTACATATGAGTATCTTTTAGTCTGCGTTACATGCATAACTGACTGTGATATTTTATACTTGTGTTGTAATGTTGTTATCCATTCTTAACATTATTACAGCTGCTTTTCGTTATTTAGCTATTTTGCTTTGGCGGGTTTTCGCGGGCGACAAAGCGAAGAGATGTCGTATATAAGCCACCATTCAGAAAGGATATCTCGCTGACTTACTTGTATTTGATAGTGAGTCAAAGCCTGTTTACAGGTAGACTTGTATTTGATAGTGAGTCAAAGCCTGTTTACAGGTAGACTTGTATTTGACAGCGAGTCAAAGCCTGTTTACAGGTAGACTTGTATTTGACAGTGAGTCAAAGCCTGTTTACAGGTAGACTTGTATTTGTCAGTATATCGAAGATTATCTACAGGTAGACTTGTATTTGTCAGTATATCAAAGATTATCTACAGGTAGACTTGTATTTGTCAGTATATCAAAGATGATCTACAGGTAGGCTTGCAATTGTCAGTATAGAAATATATTAACACATTAACTTATATTTCTCACTAAAGAAACGTATTTACAGGTAAACTTGTATTTTTCAAGTAACAAAAATCTTACTTGTGTACTTGCTAGTAAGAAAATCTTGCTAACAGGTAGGCTCGTATTTGTCATTATAGAAAAAGTTACTTACATATAGATTCACATTTACAATTTACATTTACTCACAGGTAGGTCTTTATTTGTCAGTGAGGATAAACTTGCCTACTGTATATGTCATTACTGTAAGGTATACTTACTGGTAGGTTTGTATTGGTCAGTACTGTAAGGCATACTTATTACTGGTAGGTTTGTATTTGTCAGTAGTGTAAGGCATACTTACTGGTAGGTTTGTATTGGTCAGTAGTGTAAGGCATACTTATTACTGGTAGGTTTGTATATGTCAGCACTGTAAGGCATACTACTTACTGGTAGGTTTGTATTTGTCAGTACTGCAAGGCATACTTACTGGTGGGTTTGTATTTGTCAGTACTGTAAGGCATACTTATTACTGGTAGGTTTGTATTTGTCAGTACTGTAAGGCATACTTGTTACTTGTATGTTTGTATTTGTCAGTACTGTAAGGCATATTAACTGGTAGGTTTGTATTTGTCAGTACTGTAAGGCATACTTATTACTGGTAGGTTTATATTTGTCAGTACTGTAAGGCATACTTACTGGTGGGTTTGTATTTGTCAGTACTGTAAGGCATACTTATTACTGGTAGGTTTGTATATGTCAGCACTGTAAGGCATACTACTTACTGGTAAGTTTGTATTTGTCAGTACTGCAAGGCATACTTACTGGTAGGTTTGTATTTGTCAGTAGGGTAAGGCATACTTATTATTGTTATGTTTGTATACGTCAGTACTGTAAGGCATACTTATTATTTGTTTGTTTGTATTCGTCAGTACTGTAAGGCATACTTATTACTGGTAGGGTTGTATTTGTCAGTAGTGTAAGGCATACTTATTACTGGTAGGTTTTTATTTGTCAGGACTGTAAGGCATACTTGTTACTTGTATGTTTGTATTTGTCGGTACTGTAAGGCATATTAACTGGTAGGTTTGTATATGTCAGTAGGGTAAGGCATACTTATTACTGGTAGGTTTGTATTTGTCAGTAGTGTAAGGCATACTTATTATTGTTATGTTTGTATATGTCAGTACTGTAAGGCATACTTATTATTTGTTTGTTTGTATTTGTCAGTACTGTAAGGCATACTTACTGGTAGGTTTGTAGTTGTCAGTACTGTAAGGCATACTTACTGGTAGGTTTGTATTTGTCAGTACTGTAAGGCATACTTACTGGTGGGTTTGTATTTGTCAGTACTGCAAGGCATACTTACTGGTGGGTTTGTATTTGTCAGTACTGTAAGGCATACTTATTACTGACAGGTTTATATTTGTCAGTACTGTAAGGCATACTTACTGGTAGGTTTGTATTTGTCAGTACTGTAAGGCATACTTATTACTGGTAGGTTTGTATTTGTCAGTACTATAAGGCATACTTACCGGTATGTTCATATTTGTCAGTAATGAAATGGATACTTACTGGTGGGTTTGTATTTGAGGTATCGGAGGGAGAAACCTGTGGCCTGTACACTGGAATCAGATTTAAGCCTGAGGTAGGCGAACTGACCAGTCATCAGGTACATCCGTCCTGTAGGCAAACGGTTACATATCCGGCCTAGAAGGGTGGCGCTGGTCGACGATCCTGTAACGCAATTGGACAGATACACGCTTAAATATATTTTATGGCGTTATTTTATTCTTTTTTTTTCTTTTATACGTTTTTGCCATTTTTATTTTGGCATCTTTCGTCGATGTCCTATGCCAAAAATGTCTTATTTTTTGTGTGTTAAACCTAAAATAACTGATAATTTTGTATTAAATGCACATCAAACTTACCATCGTAGATAGACAACCCATCGTACGAACACCCGGGACTGTTCTCAATACTGAGGTAGGTTACGTCAACGAGGACGCGGAAGGCTGAGTCAGTGTCGGAACCATTTATCAACCATTTGCAATCCGTATTTCTGAGGGGAACAAATCTAATTTAATTGCGAATCTATGGATCAGACATTAATTAGCAACATATGATAAAATATTTCTCAATCCACCATTGTTTGTTACTTTTAGACACCATTCCTCTACATTTCATCCCCTAGGTACCTGTGTTTTGTACTGAACATTTAGACAGCCCTTTACTATACTCGATACTCTACTTTCTGTCTGTAGCGTACCCCCAACCCTTCTGTCCAACGACCTTATTATTTATGGTGTAACAAACTATCCTGATTATACTCTCCTCCCACTTACCCCGTTAATATATTGTCGCGAGTGTAGAGGTATAGACCATTTTTTTTCTCTTCTATCCGAGCACTTACGATGAGGAGTATAATACCCCGGATGTACATGTATAGGACATCCTCACTCTCCTACCCTACACCAGTACATTGTACCTACGATGAGGAGTATGATACCTCGGATGTACAGGTGAAGGACATCCTCACTCTCCTACCCTACACAATTACTTACGAGGAGTGTGATACCTCGGATGTACAGGTAAAAACATTCTCACTCTCCTACCCTACACCATTACTTACGATGAGGAGTATGATACCTCGTATGTACAGGTAAATAACATCCTCACTCTCCTACCCTACACCAGTACTTACGAGGGAGGAGTATGATACCTCGGATGCACAGGTAAAGGACATCCTCACTCTCCTACCCTACACCATTACTTACGAGGAGTGTGATACCCCAGATGTACAGGTAAAGGAATCCTCACTCTCCTACCCTACACCATTACTTACGATGAGGAGTATGATACCTCGAATGTACAGATAAAGGACCTCCTTACTCTCCTTCCCTACACCAGTATTTACGAGGAGTATAATACCCCGGATGTACATGTATAGGACATCCTCACTCTCCTACCCTACACCAGTACATTGTACCTACGATGAGGAGTATGATACCTCGGATGTACAGGTGAAGGACATCCTCACTCTCCTACCCTACACCAATTTTTTACGATGAGGAGTATGATACCCCGGATGTACAGGTAAAGGACATCCTTACTCTCCTACCCTACACCAGTATTTACGAGGAGTGTGATTCCTCGGATGTACAGGTAAAGGACATCCTTACTCTCCTAACCTACACCAGTATTTACGAGGAATATGATCCCTCGGATGTACGGGTAAAGGACCTCCTTACTCTCCAACCCTACATCATTTTTTACGAGGAGTGTGATACCTCGGATGTACAGGTAAAGGACATCCTTACTCTCCTAACCTACACCAGTATTTACGAGGAATATGATACCTCGGATGTACAGGTAAAGGACCTCCTTACTCTCCAACCCTACATCAGTTTTTACGAGGAGTGTGATACCTCGGATGTACAGGTAAAGGACATCCTCACTCTCCTACCCTGCACCAGTATTTACGAGGAGTGTGATGCCTCGGATGTACAGGTAAAGGACATCCTCACTCTCCTACCCTGCACCAGTATTTACGAGGAGTATGATACCTCGAATGTACAGGTAAAGGACCTCCTTACTCTCCTACCCTGCACCAGTATTTACGAGGAGTATGATACCTCGAATGTACAGGTAAAGGACCTCCTTACTCTCCTACCCTACACCATTACTTACGAGGAGTGGGATACCCCAGATGTACAGGTAAAGGAATCCTCACTCTCCTACCCTACACAATTACTTACGAGGAGTATGATACCCTGGATGAACAGGTAAAGGTCATCCTTACTCTCCTACCCTATACCAGTATTTACGAGGAGTATGATGTACAGGTAAAAACATTCTCACTCTCCTACCCTACCCCAGTATTTGCGAGGAGTGTCATCCCTCGAATGTTCAGGTAAAGGACCTCCTTACTCTCCTCCCCTGCACCAGTATTTACGAGGAGTATGCTACCTCGAATGTACAGGTAAAGGTCCTCCTTACTCTCCTACCCTTCACCATTACTTACGAGGAGTATGATCCCCCGGATGTACAGGTAAAGGTCATCCTTACTCTCCTACCCTGCACCAGAATTTACGAGGAGTATGATACCTCGAATGTACAGGCAAAGGACCTCCTTACTCTCCTACCCTGCACCAGAATTTACGAGGAGTATGATACCTCGAATGTACAGGTAACGGACCTCCTTACTCTCCTACCCTGCACCATTATTTACGAGGAGTATGATACCCCGGATTTACAGGTAAAGGCCATCCTTACTCTCCTACCCTACATCAGTTTTTACGGTACAGGTAAAGTACATTCTCACTCTCCTACCCTACACCAGTCCTTACGATGAGGAGTATGATAACTCGGCTGTACAGGTAAAGGGCATCCTCAATGTCCTACCCGACACCATTACTTACGAGGAGTATGATACCCTGGATGAACAGGTAAAGGTCATCCTTACTCTCCGACCCTACACCAGTATTTACGAGGAGTGGGATACCTCGAATGTACAGGTAAAGGTCCTCCTTACTCTCCTACCCTTCACCATTACTTACGAGGAGTATGATACCTCGGGTGTATAGGAAAATGACATCCTTACTCTCCTACCCTACATCAGTTTTTACGGGACAGGTAAAGTACATCCTCACTCTCCTACCCTACATCAGTTTTTACGATGAGGAGTATGATATCTCGGATGTACAGGTAAATGACATCCTCACTCTCCTACCCTACATCAGTTTTTACGGTACAGGTAAAGTACATTCTCACTCTCCTACCCTACCCCAGTATTTGCGAGGAGTGTCATCCCTCGAATGTTCAGGTAAAGGACCTCCTTACTCTCCAACCCTACATCAGTTTTTACGAGGAGTATGATACCTCGAATGTACAGGCAAAGGACCTCCTTACTCTCCTACCCTGCACCAGTATTTACGAGGAGTACGATACCTCGAATGTACAGGTAAAGGACCTCCTTACTCTCCTCCCCTACACCATTACTTACGAGGAGTGGGATACCCCAGATGTACAGGTAAAGGAATCCTCACTCTCCTACCCTACACAATTACTTACGAGGAGTATGATACCCCGGATGTAAAGGTAAAGGTCATCCTCACTCTCCTACCCTACACAATTACTTACGAGGAGAGTGATACCTCGGATGTACAGGTAAAGGGCATCCTCAATCTCCTGCCCTACACCATTACTTACGAGGAGTATGATACCTCGGGGGTACAGGTAAATGACACCCTTACTCTCCTACCCTACACCAGTTTTTACGATGAGGAGTATGATACCCCGGATGTACAGGGAAAGGACATCCTTACTCTCCTACCGGACATCCTCACTCTCCTACCCTCCACCAGTTTTTACGATGAGGAGTATGATACCCCGGATGTAAAGGTAAAGGTCATCCTCACTCTCCTATCCTACACCAGTACTTACGATGAGGAGAATGATACCTCGGATGTACAGGTAAAAACATTCTCACTCTCCTACCCTACACCAGTTTTTACGATGAGGAGCATGCTACCCCGGATGTACAGGTAAAGGACAACCTCACTCTCCTACCCTACACCAGTATTTACGAGGAGTATGATACCTCGGATATACAGGTAAAGGACATCCTTACTCTCCTAACCTACACCAGTATTTACGATGAGGAGTATAATACCCCGGACGTACATATTTAGGACATCCTTACCTTCCTCTCCTTCTCCAGTACTTACGAGTAGTATAATGCCCCAGATGTACAGGGATAGGACATCCTAACTCTCCTCCCCTCCTCCCGTACTTACGAGTAGTAGGATATCCTCCATCCCGGGGAGTAGAGGTACTCGACATCTTGTGTGGCCATTAACTCTGTCTCTACTCGTCGGTTCGCTATGTCGCACACACCAAATACTGTCCAATAGATGGTCGTTAACTTTATATTATATATCAAACATTTCTATTATCGAAACACTTTTTAATATAAATGAAATAATATGATAAACAAATATCAGTAACAACAATTGGGTCGTTCTATGCATATTTAAGATTCGGGAGTTCTGTGAAGACATTGTGGTTGTACGACGCCACTAATAACTTTGTTCGGATCGTTACCGTATACCCCTTAATTTATAATGTATGTAGTTTACCTACTTTCTAATGTAAAGCAATACAACTCTGTAAACTTGTAATATATCGGTAATAATCATATACATGTTATACTTTTGATGAATGAAGATATTTAATCAATAAACCACAGGGTTTATGAATGAGATAGCAACCAGAGGCACGTTAAATCAATATGTACATAATATGTACGTGTACAGTCATTATTGAACAAGACTCTATGAAGCACTTACCTTGAGTGATAATCATTAACAATAACATAATTGGCGCTCCGAAACCCGCTCCGAAACCCGCCATAGTCCTTCCTGGGATAAATAATAGGAACAGTTAAGGTTCGTTCTTACTGAATATGCACACTGTATATGTATGTATGTTTGTGTTACAAACAAAGTTACAAGTTTTATATCAGTAACCTGATAATAAGGTCGTCTACACCAGCCCACTGACCGAGCTGGAACTTCCTTTTTAACGCGTATTTAACTAATTCAATACAAATTTCATTCCAAAATAAAGCAGGAGATTTTTTACATACCTGGTGACATCATGTTCCCTTATTTAAATCCGACAATATATGTGTCACTCCAATTATTTGTGTTTCCCGAGCCTGGTTACTGACCGTTTTGGTTGTTTATGTTATTATTTACTGGTCAGTCCTCCGACCAACCACCCTCAGACAGTCGTTATCATATTGCCAATGTCAAGAGGAATTTGTCGTTAATACTTTCTCATAATGATGAAACAACCGTATTAGTATTAGTCGCGATCGTCTTTTACATTAATACTTATAGCGTCATTTGAGTGAAATGCGTGCTTGATTTGTGAACAACGATACAATGACCAGTTTAAATCCATAGAGTGTTCAGTCCAGTTGACCACGACAAATCCCAACAACAGTAAGTAGTACAATAGAAACGGTCGTATCGGCTACAAACACACACGGTTAACAGTATGGGCTATAAGTCCTCTTACCCTATTATAAGACATCACCTCACCGTGTTGTTTTCTCTTTATATTTGATAGTGAAACGAAATTACAATGTCTAAAGTTTTATAAATTTATAAATAAAATTTACGGAAACTTGAACGCAGGTAATGTATTTTCTATGCTTTAATGACAAATTGCCAAAGGCATACATTACTTACACAGGAGTGTACTGCCAATATGCTGTGCAAACAGTACTAGTGCTATTTAGTATATTGTCTGGTACAACTCAGTAGGTTTAGGTATATTGTATTGTGCGAGTGTGTCTGTAATCATTATAAAGATATTGATCGACCCGACGCTTTTATTTCCCTCAAAAGGAACACTTATTGTACACACCCAAAACAGAAACTCGTCATAAACACATCTAACGGGAACATTAAGTACCCGTCGGGTCCGTACACCCTAAACACCGAGGACGGAATCCTTTATGTTATACACCCAAAACGGAAAACCCTACTTTCCACATCCAAAACGGAAACCTCTTCTTTCCACACATAAAACGAAAACCCTTATTTTTCACACCCAAAACGGAAACCCCTTATTTTACACACCCAAAACGGAAAACCCCTACTTATCACACCCAGAACGGAATCTTTCATTTTACACACTCAAAATGAAAACCCTTTCTTAATACATCCAAAACAAAAACCCTTACTTTACATATCAATACGGTAACCCTCGCTTTACACACCCAAACCGGAAACCTTACTTTATACACCCAAAACGGTAGCCCTCACATTACACACACAAAACGGACACCCTTTTTATACACACCATAAACGGAAACCCCTACTTAACACACACAAACCGGAAACACTCATTTTACATACACAAAACAGAAATCCTTACTTTAACACCCAAAACGGAAACCCGTATTCTCACACATAAAATGTAACCCTATTAACCATATCAAAAAGGAAACCCTGATTCTCATACGCAAAAGAAAACCCTTTTACACTATCAAAACAGAAAAGAAAACCATTTTCAATATCAAAACAGAAAACCTTACTCTCACACACATAATTAAGCCCTTAAACACCATCAAAACGGAAACCCAAATTATCATACGCAAAAGAAAACCATTTACAATATTAAAATGATCCCTTACTCTCCACAAACAAAACAAAACCATTTTACAATGTCAAAACAGAACCCTTACTCGACATTCACGAAAGAAAAACCATTTTACAATATCAAAAGAGAAACTCTCACATTACAAACACAAACAGAAACCCCGTACTTCATAATCTCAATACGAAAACCCCGTACCTCATAATCTAAATATGGATACCCTAGCTAATATTACCACTAACGAAAGACCCTATTTATTACATGTACATTAAACAGATCACTTATTTGGAGAGCATCATATTATACCTTTTTTGATCCAATGTTCTTATTAGATGGAGAGCAGCGAGTTTTCGGGAAGACTCCTTTAGGTCCAAAGAATACAAAGATCATTGAGAACAGTACATTTTTTCATTTTGGTTTTTAATGAGCGATGAATGAAGGGCCAGGTATTGAGTATACAGTTGTGTGCTGTATACAGTGTGTCTATGTACATACATATGACATTCAAACCGTTAATGATTAGCCGATTAATTATTGTTTACTTTCTCTCTCCCTCTCTGTTTAATAAATTAAATACTCGCATTAACAAGTGAACTTACACGCACACCTCAGATTATCTTAATCCTATAGTCTAGATCATATACGAGACTTGTCCAATGTAAGATTAGTTTCCTAATATGTCAACCGCCATTGCACACAAAGTCAGAATTTTCCAAGGTGAAACTTGTTATAATTTCATCTCTCTGGGAACTTGATGGACTGGTAAGTTGATAAACATATTTTTTCTGTATCATTTCCAAAACTTCCTATCAAAATTATACAATAATATACAGGTGTTTTTTTTAAACTAAACGCGCATTCTAAAAAGATTCAACTGCCCAATCAGCCAATGTTATATTTACTTTTACACATTAAATATATACATAGTACACTTGTGTTTTAGGAGTTGATTCACGTTTAGTTCCTTATATGGAGATGATTCCCTGGGAGATACACATCAATGGCGAGAGGTGCGCTGTGGATCCTTGTGATAGTTACATGTATTATTGTCTATCTCCAGCATGCGTATGGTAAGTTTAATGAAGATTCTTAAGTTGACAAATCCGAGGCTTGTCGAATCTTTGCCCGAGGGCTGTGACTCCCCGTCTCAATTCAAGGTGGTATTTTGTTTTACCCCTTTGACTCATATTCATAATGTCATTTTGACGTTACATTCGAAATAGATTGTTAACGTAGCATCATTGTATTGTTGTCGTGATGTCATACAATTGTTCTGACAGGGAAATATCCCTACCTTAATATTAGGATACGACAAGGCTATCTCACAGCAGGTGAAGTGTGGATACGCCTGTCCAGGGTAAGAGAAGTTGTTTTCTCTCCAATCAGAGAGAAATATCAACACTTCTGGTCTGCGAAATAATATGTTAGTCTTACTCTTAGACAGACGGGGGGATTATCCTGACTTAACAATTGTATGATGTCACGTCAACAATGCACTGACGTTACGCCGACAAAAGCAAATCACGGAAGATAGAAATGATGAAATTAACGTTTGCATGTCATGAAATTACCACTTGTATTTGATGTGGGGAAAAATAATCCTTCCTCACTATAAAATAGAAAAAAAATAACCTAAGGGGTAATATTCTAAAATGTTTCTTTTTAACTCCATGTTAAGATAACACATTGAACTTGATGATTGATAACATCTTTCCCCACCTTCGGGCTCAGACATTTAAGAATGTTACACCTTGTGTTGACTTTTTTTTCCATCTCACCCCTTAAGCGGAGAAAGTTGTTTTAATCGACAGCAAAAACACATACATGTGGTAATAAGAACATTTAGATAATAGTGGTTAAATATTTATGTAGTGATAAGATTAGCAAACAGCAGTAAGACATATTTGAAAACAAAACCAACATTATCATTTTTTGTAACTGTTTGGAAACGTTGGAATGTTGTTTTCGTCTTGATAAGGTATATAATATAAGGTACATGGCGTTTGAATTGTGATTTGCAGGCAGCCGGGTCTGTGATACACAGGTATCAGAAATAGAAGTGAAAAAGGAAAAACAGCGTCTGGAGTTTCCAAGCAACCAGAACACAAGTGGCAAGTAAGTACCGATATCACAACAATAACACGTCATATGTGTTATATAGTGTTTAGATATCCCCATATACGTAAAGTGTATATATTCCTTACGTTGAATTACGTGTAGTGTATATCGTTGATAGATTTTCCTCTGTTCTCCCCTACCATAAAACAGCTCGCACATTACATCGTACCGTGCACAGTCACCTCAGGATTTCGTTAGGCAGTAAGGTAATATCTGCACATGTCAGTGCAGATCTAAGTAAGTATGCTTTCTGTATCGACCAACTTAATCTGAATATATTCTTTGCATCAAATTTTACGTGATTGTTTTATTGTTGTACGTGCTATAATCCTGGCCGAAATACTAATGTGTAGAGGAAAGGGTCAACTTCGCAGTTACACATTAGAAGGTGCCAGTGGAGGAGTTCATCACGGCTACTGAATTAGCCTGTTCAAAACTCCCATACCACGAAGCAGAGCAGAGCAGACCTTTATCACATATTTCCAAACAGATGAATCTTATTGAAGATATGTGGTACATGTTGCAAAAAAAAATCGCTTTTTTTTTTTTTTTCCCTTTTTTTTTCCGAAATGTCGATGGATCTGTTTCGTTGAGCAACAAGAGTGATTTCTTTTCGCATATATTTGAAATAAAACAAACAGAATAAAACAAAAAAGAAACCTCGTACTCTTTCAATTGTGTTTACAATGCTACATTTGTTTAATACTATATGCTTATGATATTGCTGCACATCCTTGGGCAGTTGTACGTTTTACATTTTAGTCTGTGGTCTTGACCAATATTTGCATATGCTATCCTGACGTCTCTTAGTATTCATGTCCCTTTGTCACTGACACTTCAAGCCATATCGGTCTTTTCATCCATTCTCTGCATGTTATCGTGTCTGCAATAGCTCAAATAGTTCAAGAGCTGGTGATTCAAGTTTCTGTCTCTTGTAAATTCAGTGTCTACCACTGCCGATGGCGACTGACCACCGAGGATGAGAAGTATACCATAGAGGTAGCGATGCAGTCCGTTTTTATAGGTCATCAAGTTAACTGCTCCATGTCCAGTCTAACGGTATATGACGGTACGTTTCCCCTTGAAACATATCAATACTAAATGTTACAGAATACAATTAATATGTAATTTTACCGCAATTTCATTTGTAATAGATAGTACCATAATAAGTATAACACATACACACCTAATACTAGTATACACACTACAGTAACACAATAGCCAGAGCTCCAAAAACGTTCACGCATACACTTAACGCATACATCTGGCACACAGGGGAGGTCGTCCTTAAATGACCATAACTGTTGATAGGACGTTAAACAATACTAAACCAAATTAAACCTTGTGTTTTACACCTCTGTCATTCACTAATTTATGTCTGTTGCTGACAACTATAACGTAATTTTCTTTTCATAAATAAATAAACATACTCATTAAATCCTTTCATTGTTTTCCTTAATGTAAATTGCTTATCCCATCTAAACCTCAATTAAGAGAGCCGGAATCGAACAAGTTTTGCCAAATGATACCAAGAAATTAAAAATGATTCATTTTTCATGATATTCACATAATAACCTTACTAGCATATTTTAACACATTTTCCTATGTTGCGTCATTAGGTCATGACCCGTCAGACTTCCTCCTCCGACAGGAGTGCAGCAACAGGACAGAGCAAATGGTGGTCAATAGTTCAAACGAGTACGTCTACATCGTGTGGCGGCTTCCTGAGGGATTGACCACGTCCAATACATTTACACTCTGGTATGCCGCTTTGGACAACGGTGAGGGCGATTATTAAAAGCAAAAATACCTTCATTTATGTTTTGTATTATTATTCATTTGTTTGAAATGTAATCTTCTGTTATGTTTCAGACGACAAGACCCACCGTTTTACAAATACGACGGTTGCTGGTGTGATCGCGGGGGTCATTTTATTCATCATATTTACTTTGTCCATCATCATGGCTGTCATATGTTGTTTAAGGAACAGATCACAGACGGAGATACGAAATATGCGACGGGAAGATAGTACAGCATGTTAGCAGAATCCATGGTGGAATATGAAAATATCATTGTAACTGGTCCCTTGAAGAATAAACAGTGATTGTGTAACTCTGACAATGGAGACACTTTTTGACGTCAAAAATCGGTGTCATCCATCCCTGCAAGATATTTTTTCTTAGAAATACGCCTGTTTGATAGATGCCGAGCTATGAGTTCGTGAATTCTACACAAAATGATATAAAGTCTTCTAATAATTGTTGCATTGCTAATATGTATAGCATCAAAGTGTCCATGATGTTTGCTTTTTCCGTTTTGAAACATCATTTTATACATCCAATGATTGCCTTTTAGGGCTTATTAGAAATGCTCATGAAAAATCACATTTTCATCTTGGGTTAAACTGCATTTTTAGTATAGTAAAGTTACATATAAAATATAATTAAAGTTTGAAATACATCTTTATAAGGTTATGCAACACATTTTCGTTCGAACATTATTCCATTCCGTTAGCGCATCTTGGAGAATAGGTCAGGTAACGGTACATGTAGTACTGTTAATATTACTGCACATTTGCTTTTATTGAATCATGCAAACATTTTGAGTTTGGTACTGTTATCTAGTGGCACTGCAACTTAATTGTAAATCTTTAACAATACATTACGCTTCGTTATGTGAAATGGAAGTGCTGTGTGAGGCTGATTCGCAAGAATGAGTTCAGTCCAGAAAAAATAGCGATTTATCAAATTTAGGCTTATGACGAGGTCGAAGAATGGGAAATATTGAGTAGTTCTGAAAAACTAAAACGTCAGAATGGTTGAAATTCCTCACCTGATATATCATGCAGAAGAAGATAAAAGACAGGAGATAACTTTCAGCAAGTGATATAACAGTCAAACTGACAAACGTTTCTGTTTTCTGACTTCTTTGTACATAATACCACAATTCTTCACACGATTTTGTTATCAGTGCATTGAGGCTAAAGCTTTGCAATGTCAGCAGGGGTGTCGTTGATTGATTTAAACAGTACACTGCTACATGAACTGTAAAAATGTGGTATTTTACTAAATTGTTTGTCATGAAGTATGATATTTCCCTGAATTGTTCAATAATAGTCACTGACTGTAGTGCCACCAGTGTGACAGTAGTTTAAATGTTGTAAATATCTTGGAGTTGTCAAACACATGTTTTTAAACACAATGTCCATTCAAACGGTATTTACTCTTATTCAAGTGTTTTTCAGTGTTCAATATGGTTATTATGCAGATGTAAATACCTTTATTATCATGGTTAATCGTGAGTCCAGGGTAAGAACCGTCTGGAGAGAGCGAGAAATGTAATGTTTTTGCAGAGAACGTATACCCTTCTAGGGTGTATGGACGTCGCCATTTTGTGAACTCTCGTGACCTCTTGAACTGTGTCAGTCGGGGTCAATTGAGTGTTTATTCTGTTGTGTATTGAAAGTATTGGAAATACGGGAATTGTTGGAAATATGGGATGCGTTGGAAGTATTGGATTGCGAGTCAGAGAGTGAATAACGGTACGAAAGAGTTGTAGATGTGGATACTATGAAATACTATATATTAATGTTGATTTGTGAAGTATTTTTCATACAAGTGCCAAAGTAGATCGTCTTATTTTATTTGGGTTCAACGGGTACTACGTTGCCAGCAACGGGTGTGGCGCCGTTACCTCTTCAGAGTCCGCTGGGGAACGGGTGTTGCCCCGTTGAGCTCGTGCGTTGACCCGTCGATGTTAGTGTTCTTACCAGGGGCGTAGAGATTCCTTGGGGCGTTGGGAAATCAGTTGCGATCGGATATTCTTAGGGGATGATTTTTTTTGAGCTGCTGGTGGCTACTACACTTTTGGATCGTTCCAAAACCGTGGAGCTGTCAGTATGTTTGGTTTGTAGGATAAGGAAAGCAACTCGTAGAATAGAATATGGGGATGGACGGGAGATTTTAGTTTCTGTTATTATCGAAACTACAGTAGGGATAAATAGACTTGTTTTGTCCCCTACATATATCAGAGGGTTCTGGTATCCAGGGTTCAGACGTAGTTCTACCTTTATTGTACATCATATTGATGAGAGAATATGGAGAGAGTCAGTAGAATTGTTGTATCTGTATCTTTGTAATTTGATATTGGGTTCCTTAATAAACAGTAACCGTAAAGGTGTGCGTAAACTTATCTTATGCTTTCTGGTTCTTCTTTAGTTACTTAGAACTAGTCAGTCATTAGGTACTTGGTTTGGAAATACCATATAATTTCCTGGGGGCTTGTCATAAGTGACAGTTTAGAATAGTCGTGCTCTCCACGTAAAGGGTTGAGCCAGGGGCGAAGACCGTTACAGAACAAGAACAAAAACAGAGGAATGTATTGAAATAAAGTTTGCGAGAAATCCCTGAGAAATGTTGTTGATAAATCCTGACCTCTGTTATTAATTGTTGTTTAATTATAGTATTATGTTTATTTATTGAATATCGGTAACGCAAAATTGTGGCAGTATTAGGTCAGATACTGTAGTATATTAGCGAAACAGGTGTTAAACCCATTCTAACCTTGTGTATCTAATTACGTCTCCGTATACTTTTAGAGTGTCGTATGTATGCTCATGGCTCTGTTCCTTGATTCGAAACAAATTCAAAACAAATATCAAATTTAGTTTTAGTAGTTGAAACGATAATTCGATGTAAACAGCTTTTAACCTTTTATTCTGCTGGAATAAGGTTTTTACCCTGCAATAGAAAGTGTTGAAAATAAATAGTGTTGAACTCTTAACAAAAAATGTTAAAACTTATTATTTATCGGTATGTAGTTGGATTAATTTTATTATCGATTTTTTTTTCTTTTTTTTTAATTAAGACTTTTACAAAGAAGGTTATGAATATGATTAAAACCTTATCAGATTAATTGCATAATCTTCCGTCTGACGTTCATATCGAGTTTTCATTTTTGGGTGACAATACAAAAATGTTCATTGATGGGATGAAACATCAATCATATCATCAAATGTAAAATCTACCAATCAATTCGAAAACTTACTTTTATTCCTCCATCCTCGCAGTAACCTAAAGTAATCTCACGATTTCGTCCATTTTTATGACTATGATTATTGGCTTAGTTTATGAATTAAAGCATGTTTTATAACTTAGAATTTGTCAGCTCTGATGTATTAAAACAATGCATACTATCACCTTCTTTTTAAATACGTGTGTGAACAAAACTCGAAGATACATTCATCCTATAAGTTGAAATATAGTGATTTAAAGTTATATTTAGTGTTATGATTGTTATATTTAGTGTTATGATTGTTAGATTTAATGTTATGATTATTAGATTTAGTGTTATGATTGTTAGATTTAGTGTTATGATTGTTAGATTTAGTGCTATGATTGTTAGATTTAGTGTTATGATTGTTGGATTTAGTGTTATGATTGTTAGATTTAGTGTTATGATTGTTAGATTTAGTG